CCTGGGGTGTTTCCCCGCGGGCCTGCGAGGGTGGGGGGCGAGGAGGGACGACAGTCCCTACCAGGCCTCAGGGAGGGGGACAGAAAGCCGGGGGAAAGGACGCGTCGCCGCGCCTCTTCGCGATCGCTCGCCTCGCTTGGGAGAAGGCGAAAGAGCGGGTAAACGCCGCAGTGGGTGGTTTTGCGGCCCCAAAATCCGTTAAGATTAAAAGCCCCGTCCCCCTACTGGTGCCCCTCGCTTGCCCCCACAACAGCCCCTCGCCGCCCCCTACAGCCCCTGTCCGGAGGGCTGTGGGCCAGGGGCCCAGCTCTGCAGCTCCCCGCCCCGCACAGCGGGCACTGCTCTGCCCTGCGCTGCGCTGCCTGCCCGGGGGCCGCGGGACAAGTCCCGCTGACAGGCTCCAGGAGCAGGAGTGGAGCCGAGCCAGGCAGAGCCTCAGACCCCGCTTCCCCCGGGGCAGAGCTGGGGGTTCCCCCGCCCTGTTTTCTTGCAGGGCTACAGAGCTGTTTGCAGAAGCAGGCAAGCAGCGGGTTTCTCTGCTAAAAGGGGAAACCCGTGGTTTTCTCTGTTTTTCCGTGGGAAACAGAAAACCAGGATCCCTGCTTACAAAACGAAAAAAAAAAAAGATGTTAATGTGAAGTCATTGAAAATACGAGTAGATTCATTCATCTCTCTGGATAATCGCTTTGACCCGGAGGAAGTCAAAGCCAAAAAGATCGGATGTTATTTTATGTGCCCAATTCCATGCACCATGTCCTTTTCAGACCCAAAACACTCCAGCGAGAATGGACCAAACTGAACACGCTCTTAGCCCAGACCCATTTCTGCAATGCTGTGAACACAAAAGCGGTCAGCCTGAACATGCAGATTGCTTTCCTCAGCTGGGTCTGCTAAGTGCAAGCCATGTCGGACCCCCTTTTTTTTCTTTGTGAATGGGCAGTGCATCCGTGTTTGTTGAGTGCTGGAGAATCGTTAAAGCCTTACCCTGCGTTGGGGCTATATAGATAGCAACACAATGCCTGATTCTGGTATTTCCAGGAGAGGTCAATTTGTTTGCCGCAACACACACACCTAGGACTTCGCTTAGCCCACACAGGAGCAGGCACCAAGAGATCAATACTCAAGGCAATGTATTCTGCTTTCAGCTGTCATTCTGTGGTGCGGCAAGTGCTAAATCTGGTGGCACCTTCCAATACACCAGCATTTTAAATACAGAGGTGTTTATTGCTTTCAGTATGACATTGAGCACTATCATCTGTGAAGTTCAGCCCCTAATTTGATACCAAATGGAGCATGTGACGTGTTCATTGTAGTGCCCTCTTCCAGTTTCATAACTTCACACCCAACTGTGGTTACAAGGGCTGTTTACATTTCTTGGAGCTCTTGCTTCAAGCTCTCTGCAAACTCAACACACTATTGTTTTGTGGCCTCACAGTCCTAAGGACACAAATGTATTATTTATCAATGAAAGCCGAGATTTCTGGATGCTAGTTCTCCAGGAAGGGGAAAATTCCAAGGCAGATTTTGCCATCATAGCAAACACACAGCCCTTGCTTATACACCTCTGATTACGCACCCAATGAGTCTCTGACCCCCTTGATCCATCCCATCAGTCTCAGCCCTGCCTCTGATCTGCGCCCACTATTAACTTTGTTGGGGTTTTTTTGCAGCTAGGCTAGGAGCCCAGTCATGAGCCATGACCCTACTATGCCTGGCACAGATTTCTGATTGTCTGATTACCCTGTCAGATCACTGCTCCTGTCCAGCCTGCTTCTCTAATGCATAGCACCCCTTGTCCCTGCCTCCTCATCCCACTGCACCAAACCCCAGACTTCCTCTCTCACTTTGGGTAGCAGCTGCTCGCTCTGCTCTGTCATTCATGGCACCTTCTCTGCCCAGAGCTCTCCACTACTACTGCATAGCCCTTTTATTCTCCTCCTTATAATCCTTTCCCTTCTCTGGTCCTCCAGGTCACCTCCCTCATGTTAATTCTGGTTTGAAAGTCTTCATGGTTAGTTTGTCATTGATGGTCTCTACGAGGTTCTGTGTAATGCCGTGTTGTAAGAGGAACTAGGAGAAATAATGGCTATAGTATTGTATTTGTCATAGAAGGAAGACCAGCATCAGCGAATAGGGTTCCCATGCCACCAGAGATATAGATACTGTGTATGCCGCTCTCACAGGCTCATTACACTGAAGTGGTCTATCTGTTGGACAGGCAAAGCCTTTTCCCTCAACAAAATATCAGAGAACTCTGGGCAAAAGCCCGTTCTCCCAAGCATGCACCTGTTGGAAGCCCAGTCCAAAGTTCAATGAGTTTTCCTATTGACTCCAGTGAGCTTCAGCTCATCCCTTTACTTTGCATAGTACGTAAGGGTTAAGTAAATTAGGCAGGACAACAATTGCCACCTAAGTTGGTTTCCTCCACTCTCTGAAATCCTGGGTGGAGTACTGTCAGTCATATTTAGCTTCCCCAAGGCAGCAACCAAGGAGATGAGATTTACAGTGTGTCTGTGGGCCAGCAACCACAGAACCATGTTTTGTCCATGTTGCATACCATAATTTCTAACTTGTGGTTCTAAAGTAAATTTTAGATCATAGCTTATTTTATTTTAAGTCCCTTTTACGCATGGGTAGACTGAAGCAAGACAGATGGTCAGTAACACAGCCAGAAATAGAACCTAGCATTCTGCAGTCCCAGTGCCCTGCTACAACAAATGTTATCCTTGCATTATAAAGTTTAACTACTGAGTGGGTGCATCTACAAGTGCATATTAATGTGCAGCAATAAAATCCAGTGCATATCATGCTGGAGTTTATTGCTCCTGGGTGTGCCATTTGAATGCGCGCTCGGGACTGCAGCACACCAAGCTGCAGCTGGCAGGGGGTCAGCACGCCAGCCTGGGGCTCCTCTGACCCGGCTCAGTGTCCTGCAGAGGAGCTGGCTGGGGCATGGAGGTGCTCCAGTGCAGAGCTAGCCAGCAGGCAGCCCCTGCACTGAAGCATCCTTTTGCCCCAGCCAGCTGGGTCAATGTCTACAGATAGACTGCTGCACATTAAAAAACTTCCACAGCAGGGTAGTACTTGTGTTTACAGGTACTACCCTGCTGCAGAGTTTATTAGTGTCCTGCAGCTTAATAGGGTCGCAGGTGTAGACACCGAGACATTTACTGTGGATTAATTAGGTAACTCTCCAGTAAATGTCTTGTGTAGATGCACCCAGTGTATGCAGAGAGCTTAAAATATGGCTAAAAAATACAAATTACCATTATTATTGCCTCTACAAATGGATGTCACTGGCAAGACTGCTGCAGTTTTTTGACCTAGCACTTTGGGCTTTATTCTGGCTACGCTTGCACCAGTTATCTTCCTGATTCATTAAATCGGCTCCAGTGTATGTAAGAGAGGAGGAATCAGGTTCCAAGAGAACCTGGCAGAATATCTTGTTAAAAGGCATAACATATCTATAACTTTGGGAAAAATTACTGTAAAAATCATGATAATGGATAATTATAAAAACTTGTAACTGACAACACTCTCATTTCAAATGATAAACTGCCATGCTTTCTCCAGTAACCCACTTACAGTACAATAATGTATCTACATCTTGAGAGTTATGCAGTGATATGGAGGTTTTGGCAGGTGATTATCCCACCGAAAATTAAGCAGCATTTTCAGGAGGACTTCTTTAAAATATGCATGCTTAAAAATTTGGCACTGATCCCTTTTGACATAAAGAGACTGTCCTTGGTTGGAATGATTAAATTTCAGAAAGGATTATGAAATAGAGTATTTAAATATTATGATGCAGCAGTATAATGGTGCAGTCACCCTTCCCTTTGCTGCTGCCAGTGCAGTCTCTCTGAAAGGCTTTTATACTCTGGGGAAACTCACAGCTTTATAAATTATAAAACAGGCAACAGAATATCATGCATGGAAAAAAGCCTCAAATTGCAAACACTCATCTAGATGTAGAGCTTGCAAAAAAAGGAGCTAGAAATGTGAGGAAATAAATGCAGGGATTGATCCAAAAGTTGCTGAAATCAATTGAAAGACTCCCATGCTTTGGATCTTGCCCACAGGACTGAGACCACTGTATGTTATGAACCAAGGGATTCATAAAAGGCCCCTTCTGCTTCTTGATTGCAGAATTCAACCCCCAAAATGAAACCCCCAGATGAAATCTGTGCCAGTGCAAAGGGATCATACAAGGCCTGATCACACTGCAGTTTGCTAGGGTGTGATTCTCCACCTTTGAACAGCCTACATGAGTACAATGAACAAATTTGTCCATCCCGAGTAGATTTCCTAGCCCAGGCCTTCCATGGAAAGTTTATGCAGTCCTTCAGCAGCTAGAAGCACTTGCGCTCCTAAACAAAAGGAGTATATAGGACTGCAAGGGACATCCTGGGCCATCATGTCCAGTCCCCTGCATTCACTGGCAATCCTTAACCCAGGCAATTCCCCTGAAATTGATATTGCAAACTCTTGCCCACAACCACAAGGAACAATATCCCAGGCATCACAAAACACCCTATTACATGCTGTAAGTAATAGTAGGCAGTGCCCTCGTCTCCCCAATGCCTCCCACTCCAGTAAAAGGGAAATGGTTGATGAGTGTATGCTCAGAAGATCTTAAGAGAAGGACCATACCCCAGGCTGCAGAGGGAGGCAGAAACCTCTATGA